GACATGCAGTACATGTTATGCGAAAAGGGGACTTAAGCATAAAGGACATGCTCCAATGAAGTTATATCAAGTTGGTGCACCAATGGAAAGAGTAGCCGTTGACATTGGTGGTCCATTGCCCCAAACTTGTGCTGGAAACAAGTACATTTGTGTGGTGATGGATTATTTCACCAAGTGGCCTGAGGCATATGCAATATCAAATCAGGAAACTACAACTGTAGGTCGTCACTTTCCCATCTGTAGTTTTCCATCTCCAGAGAAGAATTCCATCTTCAAGCTTCAACTGGTCCCATTGTGCCTAATAGGTCTTTGTCACAGGGCCTAGACTAGACACCTTCTCCCAAGCAGGGCGCAAAACACTTTTAGAAAATCAATTATTGGCTTCAAATCTTGGTCTTTCTCCTGCTCTGATTTAATATCTATACCTGGTTCCATTTCACCATCATCAACTCCTTCAGTCATTTTGACTTCAGCTTGACGACACCTAGTTAGTTCAAACCTCTCTTTTAACACTTACTGGAATTTGGCCTTTGTTGTTCCCAAGCGTCATTTTATCAAAATTAATTACACACATCCTTGGTAGTAAGTAGTCCAACCCTAATACGCATTGGTCTTCAATGTCAGCCAAGTATACTTTCTGTCTGTTCTTCATGCCCATGAGCTCAATAGTTACTCACACTGGTCCCCACAACCTTGAATAATGTCCTGTCACGCCACAGAGCTTCTGTACAGCTTCTGGTACTCCTTTGTGATCCAGCAACCTGATACTCACAAGGGTTTGCTGAGATGCAAAATTTATGACAAAGTCGCACCTTTGGCCATCCAGCTTTCCTGTCACGTAGACACTATGTGTACTTGCCATTTTACACTTAGCTGTTGGGACTTTCATGGTGAGGGTTGGTGGGCGTCCCTCAGCACCAACCACTACTGGTTTCCCGAAGCTGACTTATTGGTAGTATTCTTCTTACACTGGTTCCTCGTATGTCCTTGATCTCCACAGTACCAACAACCTTTCTGGGTAGCAGCCTTTCCTGCCGTGGCATCTTCCCTGTGTTGAAGTTGCCGGCATTCAGCTCTTTTGTTTCCAAATTTGTTACAGTAGCAGCAAAGTCCCTCAAACTTCTTCAAAAGCTGCCCTCTTCTGGCCTTGAATCCTGACGACTGTACCAATCTTGGTACCTTTGTGCTGGAC